TTGGTTAAGGGAGGGTGAGATTCAAGAGAATCTCAATAGCAAACATTACCATTTATGCATGCAAGATGGATGTAAGTATGACATACTTTTTTGCACATAACTGTATCATTCATGCATAGTGAAATGCCATGGAAAGTAAGCTAGTTCATTCATATTTACATAACATAATGCCAAGGCATGCTTAACTAAATATAGCAATCATAATTCAGCAGTATAGCTTAGTCATATCATGGCATTAATAGCACATACACACATACACATCAAGCACACAAGAAAGGTAAGTTTGTTACCTTGTATTATTAAGCTTTCTTCTTACTCTTTAACTTGCTCCTTTTTGCTTTCAACCATTAAGGTTGCTTGCTCAACCTTTTCCATTCATCTTCCTCAATGGCTCATGATCCTAAATGCATCAACACATCATTTCCATTCATTCATTAAAGCCATGGTAATCAACAACATCAACACTTTGTTTTCTTTGAGCTATATTAGCTTCTAGCTTTTGAGCTTGATTTCCAACCTTTACAGAATTAATTCTACATACTATCCCACACAATTTTGCATGTAGAATCCATTTCCAAGTCAAAATAATCAAAATCAAACTCCTCCCTACTCAACTTGATCTGGCTGAACATAGGGTCTTAGGGCTCAACATTCTACTTTCAATTCTAATCCTTCCAAACTTGTTTTCTCACCTTTACCCCACACAATTTTTCATCTTAAACACATTGGAAGCATAAAAATCATCAAAATCCAATCCTAGCCCCAAGAAGCAGCCCTGGCCAAAATATTACTCAAGTTACATAATCAAGAAATTTAACCAATTTCAACATAAAACCACTTGATTCTTATTTCTTTCAAGCCTTTACACATCATTCTAACATCAATTTCATCTTTCTCTATTCTTAAGAATTTTGTGCAGCATGTCCTCCTAGAGTTTCAAGCTCCCAAAAATCATTAAAATCCATAATCAAGCTCAATAAAAACAATGGTAGTGAAAACTACATCAAAAACCATGAACATACCTTGTTCTGGAGTTTGATCTTGCATATGACCACTTAGCCTTTCTTTCTCCCTCTTCTTTCTCTCTCTATAAACTATTTTTTCAGAGCTTCCCCAAGGTTTCCATAAGGTTAGGATGAAAATGAGGGAGGGGAGGGGGTATTTATAGAAAACACGATTGAATCTAGGCCGTTGATCTTAAAAATATGTGGCTTGATCTGGACCATCCATTTTCTCTTTTAATCTTATAATGACAAGTGTCCCATGACATCATGCTTACATAATCAATTTACATGCTTTTAATCCGACTGTACACGTGTCTTGCATCTAGCCATACACGTAATACCTTCTTTTCCCATCTAACCGTACACTTGTCTCTTCCATTTTCCTTCATCATTAAGGCATTAAAATAGAGAGGAAATTAATATAAAATTGTGTAAAATACCACCCTTGGGTATTTCTCCACCTATCTTGCCATTCTACACCATATAGGGTACTTTTTGGGGTCCTGACTTTCTCGGGACTGTTGGGACATGTTTTGGCAACATTTTCTCACCTCAAATAAATCCATATGGTGTTATATAACATGCCTAGAGAAGGAGTGATGCTCTTCCCTTGTTCTTCCATTAAAATAATTAATACTATTTATTTTGGAGTGATCTTGATGGAATTCTTTCTACCGATCCACAACTCCGAGAATCTATCTCTAGGTACCAATACTATTCATTCATCATGGAAAATTCCTCTAATTTTTCTTAAGTCAAAAGTCAACCTCTAGACATCTGACTTTGACTTCCCCTGGATAGTACGTAAATAGGCTTTAAATTCCATTAAAGCTAACCTCTTCACTTTCTGGGAAGGAAATTATTTTTAAAACTTGTGATTATTCCTCAAGTATTTTTTCCCATTTTGTCTGATTATCTGAGGCCTCCCTATACTTATTCCAAATTAGTCAAAACCCTAGGAATTCTGTAAATCCTTTCTGGGGGTATTTTCATCATTTTTAGCCCCATACAGGCCTCTGAACCTAAATCCTATTTTTCTGGAATTTTTTTAAAGTGTTCAGGCCTTACCCTACTGTTTCCTATTTTCGAGGATTTTTCTAGGATTTTTGGGCATAATTTCTATTTTTGCCCTTACTAGCCTAAAATTTTACAAAATTACAAATTTGCCTCTGGTTTGGTTTAATCTCAAAATTCACCTCATTAAAGCCTCCAACATAACCTTTGGCCTACATTTATCTCTATTTCTCATTCCTAGGCCCTGAGACTTCTTCTGAGTCTCTAACTTCCTCTTTTCTCAATCCCTTTAAACTTCCCTTTGCAATTTAGTCCCTAGGATCTTTCTGTGCTTCCAGGGAATCTTTGGGACCTTTGCCACAAAAAGTTTGGTAGCTTGCCCATCTCAGGCTAATTCTGATACTACTAAGCCCAAAAGTCGAGATGTGACAATATGCATACAAAAAATCTAATGAAATGACTTATAAATAGGATCAAGAAAAATATTCTCTCTCTATTTTATAAATAGGACCAAAGGAGTACTACTCTTTATTTTGGGTAAAGGTGCATCCAGTACCTTGATTTTATTTCCTAGGTACATCCAATACTCTGATCTATTGTATGGTGTATCTAGCACCCAGATCTTATTTTTCTAGCACATCCAGCAACTTGAGATCTAGCACCCAAATCTTATTTTCCTAGCACATCTAGCAACTCAAGGTTATTTTTTTAGTCACATCCAGCATCCCAATTTTTAGGGTGATGATCTTTTGTATAGTGTATTTAGCACCCCAATCTTATTTTTCATGTGTATCCTGCACCTTAATCTTTTTTATGGTGCCTCTAGCATCCCAATATTTAGATTTTGGACGCTACCCAAAAAAAAAAAGATTAGAGTGTTAGATGCACCCAAAAATAAGGTCGGTGTGCTAGATGCACCATACAAAAGATTAGGGTGTTAGATGCACCTAAATACACTTTTACTTTCTTTTTTTCTAACAATTATTTAATACCACTATGTTCCTATTTATGAGTCATTTGTACCTTAAGCCCACAAACCAAAAATATATTAACTTGATAATTTTTTTCACATTTACCCTTATTGAAGAAAGGGTATTAAAAATATGTTTTCTTATATATTTACTTTATCTCTCTCTACATTTATTAAGCTAACAGGGATAAAATTGGAAAAATCCCATTAATTACCCTTCAAGTGACTTATATTTAGGAACAAATTTTTTTTCCTGCAAGGGACTTTTAGACATGAATAAAGTTGTATGTATTAAAAAAAAAAAAACAATCTACGTAATAATAAATAGAGGATAAAATAGCATATTCATATTAAAAATTTAATGATATGATTTATAAGTAGGGCTAAACAAATTTTCTATCTCAATCCTATAAATAGCGCAAGAGAAGTATGTGCCTTAACAACAAGCGAATTCAAAACCAATTCTGCAATTCAGTTCATATAATTGTTCTTCTGTTCCTGCCCAATCAACTTGTAGAAAAGTTAGCCACAGTCAAGCGAACAAGATATCGATAAGATAGAGAAAATGAGATTACGTTGGTTACGTCTGTTTTCTAAATAAATGAAGCAGCAAGGGAGAGATCCAAAGCAATAAATGTGCCAGAAGGCGACCGGTGACCCACTTTGATCTTTATTTCTTCCGCACATAGCGCCACCTATCCCTCTTCAACTCTCTCTCTCTCTCTCTCTCTCTCACACACACACACACACGCTCTTTTTTGTGGCAAAGGCACGTTTGCGTCGCTCATTAATGCTTTTACCATCTTAGTGGGTATGAGAGTAATGGACGATTTTGAGTACACTGCACAATATTGAAAACGTACTATAGTATATGCATGTGTAAATGGCAGGGATATTCAAATCTACTCTTGGAAACTTTGACCCTTTTTCCTCGTTATTTTCTTCTTTGTAACAAGAAAAACATTTAACCTTAACCAAAGTAACTACTCCTTTTTCTCCTCAATATAAAACCATTTTTTTTAGATTCAGAGTCTCTCCAAGTCACTTTGGATTTGAAATAAATCTTTGTCAAACTGAAAGCATTACGGTTAAAGCCTTTTTACTAAGTATGCTTCCCGAAATTTGAACTTGTGTTTTTCTCTTTGTTGGAGTAAGACTGCTTATCATCTCAACCAATAGTTTGTTCATAAATGTAAAACTCATTTTATAGTATAAGTCATTTGTCACTAATTCACATGTACTAATAAAAGCAGCTAAAAGTATATATTAAATTTGTTATAAAATTTAAACCATTTCCAATATTACTCTTATTAATATGTTACACTAAACTTTGATATCATATTACTCTATGTTATTTTTATAAGATACAACTTTTTGAATTAGTGTGTTCCTTGTTGTAAACTACACTTTAAAAATATTTGATTATTTAATACATTTTTTTCTCTTATCTCTGTTTTTTTTAACCCTTTCTTTCTTTCACCTACCTTTTTCCATAGATAAAAGGGTTTAATTCTAACGAATACATTGCATTTAACCAATTTTAACCCATATTTTATTTATTTGAATATTTGTATCTTATAAAAAGGAATAAAGGGAGCAACGTCTACTTTGTCTCACTATTCTGATAAGATATGGAAGAAAATATTTAGTACTCTTTAAGACTATCAAATTAAATGTCTCATAAAAAGGATGAAGGATACCTTCAAAGGATTAAGAATACCTTCTACACGATGTTATCATATATATGAGACCGGGGCGAGCATTTTCTTGTAGGTTATGTCAAGTATTAATAATATATGGAAGAAAATATTCAGTGCTCCTTAAAACGTCAAATGCCTCATAAAAAGGATTAAGAATGCCTTCTAAAAGATGCCCTACATATGAGAGGAGTAGTATTTTTGTAGGTGCTATGTCAAGTATTAATAACTTTTTCTGATTAACTTAAATGTTTTTACTGCCCTTTGTACAAAACATGCACTTGCTTGCCGATGAATAAACAAAATGCAGTTGGATTTACAAATAAATATAACCTTTTATTTCATCAATAGCACAATACACAGAGTTTAGAACAATAATCAACAAACTGAAGTACATTTTGCTATTTTCTTCTTCTGAGATGACCAAATTTTCCTATGTTTAAGCATTGACCTGAACCTGTACTTATCATCAAGAAGGAAATTAAAAGAAGAACCAAAAGAAAACAACATGCTACGCTGTGTTTAGTCTCTGTCCGTGAGTTCATTTGTGTTTTCCTTTATCTCTCTCACTTTTTTCCCCTCTAATTTTAATTTTACGTTTCAGAAATGATAATCAAAACAAAGACGAATTATTCCAGGACTATTAATCAACACCACCAATAATAATAACTGTATGGGATCTCTTCTTTCAACCCCACACCAAAGCCTGTTTCTGACACTACTGACCAATGTAGTTTATATATATTATATTTTAATCTCTCTTTCTTTTGATCAATCCCACTAAACCTTAAATGACATATATATATATATATATATATATATATTTATATTATTAGTCGACTGATAGCCTACTTGTATCGAACCTCACAAAATTAAGATACTCGTCATGGATCCAATTGTACTTTTCCTTGAAAGGATTCTGCAGAGACCTTGGAGGATAGTGATCGATGCAGTCTTTCCAAGCATTAGGGTCTTCCAAATCCTTCATTACCTCCCAAACACAGTTATTACACTTAAACCCAGCACCAAGGCTTATCATTAAGATCTTATCACCTTTCTTAAGCCTCTTCTTGGCCTCCATGTATCCTAAGACATACCAGAGACCACCTGCGGAAGTGTTGCCCCATCTGTGGAGCGCCATTCTTGCCGGCTCGAGGTCGTACTCCGTTAGCCCTAGACCTTTACCGACGCCGTCGATCACGGCTCGGCCTCCGGGGTGAACGCAGAAGTGGTCTATTCCTGACTTGAAATTCAAACCACCTCCTAGTACGTTGAAGTTCAGGGCTTTCTTTGTTTTGCTGCTTTGATGCAGAGAGGCTGAGAGAAAGCGAATGAGTTCCCAAAGAGGCACGATCTTTGGGGCCATAGATTGCAAGTTCACGGTCAAGGCTTGTGCTGCGGCTTTCACTAGGCTCTTTGTGAGTTGGAACCCTTGGTACCCAAGTTCGTCTTCAACCTGAAATAATGAAACGAAATTCATAATCTGTTGATACTTGAAACTTGAAAAGATGTATGGTGCAAGAATAAACACGTTTTCGTATTACTTTTGTGTGTGAAGGAGGACATTTTCTCGAGTCTCGTTTTACTTTTCTAACAAGTAAAACACTACTCCCACTAATCTTTTATATGAGCTATTTAATATGTTTAGTTTAGTCTTGCTAGTTTTGTTTTAAATGTAAGATCAAAATCTATTTTTTGGTCTTAAATATATAATTTTCTCTGCTCATTGCACATATATTAAAAAGCTTTCATTGATAGGAGGAGTTTTAATGCAAATCACTAAAGGATGTGTTTTCGAGAACCCAATATACACATGGAGTACTTTGTTTTTTTTACTCTCTCTCTCTCGCGCGCGCATTTTAAATGTTAGTGGGGAGTGGGGACCAACATATTACATGTAAGATGAGGGTATGCACCTCACTTTGAGTGAACAGCCTATATATTACTTTTATTCGAGCAGGCTAGCTAGAAATCTTCAAACAGCTTGAAGTGCCTAAGTAATGAGTTTTCGCATGGACATAAGAATCTTCTAGATTTTTTTTTTCTTCTGAAGTGTTCTTTAGGTTTCAAAAACGATCAAATGAGACGGTCCCATCTTAATTAGTTTCTCACTCTTGGTATACAAAAAGTCAAGGCCACAATTAATTTTGACAATTGTTAGTCCACGCATATAATAAATTCGCAGAAAGAGATACATAATATGTACGAGTAAATTTGAATAAATTTACCGTCAGTCTTCATTAATTATAAAAACAATAACTAAAACACAAATATAACCAACACACACACACACATATATATATGTTACTCTATTTAATTAGATTTTTAAGAGTTAAAATCAAATGCAAAGGTATGTACGTATACCTGCATGCAGCAACCATAGGCTTCATCATTTGCACCAAACTGGGTTCGTTCCATGTGCTTAAGCTTCAAGATGGCACGGTTCTTCAGGGAGGGCTTGTTGGTGAAAAGCATGGAGCAACCACCGGAGCGAAAGAGGCAATTTGAGAGCATCATCATCTTGTTGTTGCCGCAATACCAGTGAGCGCCGAGATCTTCGGTGCTCACCACAACGGCGAGAGAATTCGGGTGGCTCTTGAACATCCTCTGCACCACGTCGATCGCCACCACACTCGCCGAACACCCCATTCCGGCCAAGTTAACTGCCTTTATGTCCTCCCTCATTTTGTACCTGTTTATTATGTTTATTTAAAGGAAATTAAAAAGAAATCAAACAACTAACAATTTTTACCCCATGGTCAAAATTTATTGCATTATTCAGTTTCGTACACCTTTTGGATATGTAGTCATGTAATAAATCATATATAAGGAGGTACAAAAAAATTAGCAAGACTTGTTATATATTTGACATAAGCAATCGAGTAGTTAGAAATTGAAATAATGAATGGTATAAAGACGCATATATCTTTGTTAGGATGTGAATTCAGATGAGTCTCTTAAATATGATGATAATGGTTTTGAATACCATAACAACACGTTTCTATTATGGGGCCCCCACAACCAACTTTATGACATCTATATTTGGTTCACGACTTTCATTTATGGAAGAATTTGATTTATGCTATGTTGTTGCTTCTAATTATTAAAATCCAATCATAGAGATTAATTTATTAAATAAATTATTTAATTCAACAACAGATGTTATTCAAAGTAAATAAATTAAGCCAAAGGCCTTGTAGCCTACTGGGATTGATGCTCCCTTGGCTTGCAAGTAAATTATTTGAATGGTAACTTTAAATTGTTAGTACATACCCTTTTAATTGAAAAAAAAAATAAGTAAATTAGATGTATAATTTCATATTTCATTGAAGATGAAGCCTTCAAATAATACTTAATGAAGTTAATTAGCTCTCTCATTGATGAGAAAGAAATGACATTTCTTTTTCAGTAAGCGGATTCTCTTGAGATTTAAACAATAAATGCGTGAAATTAATATGGTGAAATACGTACAGACAAAATTTCAGAACGCCATCACCTCACAGTACTTAAAAAAGAAAGCCAGATGCCTCATTTTGAACTGAAATTGAATTTTGACGTTAACATATTATCATCCATCCAGAGAAATAAATAGGGTTCGTATGCCACTCAACGCTCCAAAGAGAGAAAAAAGCTTGCGGATGGTATGAGTCGCACGAAAATGAGCTTCCAAAAGGCATTTTCTACATTCAGGCACTTAAGAGAGTTTTCTACAAGGAGTAGCACCTAAAGGTAAGGTCTCAAAACTTTCTTTTGGAACCGAAACTGAAATATATTCTCATATAAAAAATTATAAAAGTTAAATTCAGTCATATATATACCCATATGCGTGTAAAACACAAAAGAATGAAATTGTTCGTGGGTTAACACGTATTATCATTACACCTTTTTTATATATTTTTTGAAAGCACTCCGTACCTTCATTTTTGTGAGTATATAGAGAAAATGAATTGATTGAATATATATATATATATATATATATATCACACTTGTGTGTCACTTGTAGTAAATGCACTTTTAATTATAAATGATGCAATATAAGTGGTTGGTACCTGTTTATGATACGAGCTGTGAGGGAAGGTGCAGGAGAGAACAAAGACACATTAACCACAAGTATGTCAATGTCGGAGGGAGAGAACTGAGTCTTTGCGAAGAGTCCGTCAAGAGTGTCGAACATGATCTCGTCGATCTCGGCGTAGGAATCGTCGAGGGTCGGAGATGCCTCTCGTCCTTCCATGACGTTCCTAGGGCAGTAAGTGTTCTCTCCTATCCCTGAACTCACCATGGTTTTGAGCAGAAACCTGTACTCCTCCAACCCTAGCCTCTTGTTTCTTAGCACCACCCTCACGGCGGAGTCCGTGTCCAGCTTCGTGTCCTCCGGCGGCATGAAGCACTCATAGGCCAGCATGTAACAGCTCTGGCCTCTCCGGTGAAGGATCATCTTAAAAAGGGTGAAGAAAGAATACAACAAAGGAAGTATTAGGCACAATGAGACCAAAACCTCCATGGCTATATAGCTTGCCTCTATAAAGAAGAAGAAGACGAAGAAGAAGAAGAAGAAGAAGAAGAAGAAAGATTATTGTGTTTGCTGAGTGAGGAAAAACCGGCTATATGAATATGTATTTATATAGGTACAGAAAGCTAGTTCAGGTAGAATAATGTGCAAGTTGTACAAGCAAGTTGCATAACATGCTTGTGAAATTGTGGATATACCCCACAGAGGGACAACCCGCTGGTGATAATTGACCAGCTTGTTAGGGTTTGTCTTTTTGGCTTTTGAAAAATATACCCAAGTCTAACCATACATAATTAAAGTAACATGAATTATTTTTTTGCCAACTAAAGTAAGATTAATTTAATCTCTTGATATATGATTAATTTGCATTGTTTTTTATTCTTACTACGCCATTACGATCTGGTTGGGGACTTTTATGATATTTGGTATGTGTGTGTATTAAAAATATCTGCCACAATTTATTCTTTGTAGTGAAACTAGCAAGCTGGCTTAATTAATGGCATGTGCATTGTTATCAAAATTAAAATTACAATTAATATTAAATTAATTTATTTTGTCATTATGTTAAAACTGATGTTAGATTTTTTGCAAGAAATTAACTTTTCTGATAAACAATGAACTTTTAAAAAATATTTTAATGACGTACATAAATTTTAAAAAATAAAAATTTATGATTTTGTAATTTTTATCATAAAAACATGATAAGTGTACAATCAAATAATAATAATAATAATACTATGACATTTGCGCATAGTTTTTGCAAATAATAATTATGATTTTATTTCATCATTAAAAATTATATAGAGGTTTTTTTTTAATTGAAAATTTTGAAGACGAAACTATAAACAGGTACTATATATATGTTTATTAATTAAAAAGTAGTTGTATTCGATTATATGAATACAGTAAAAAACAAAGAAAGAAAGGAAAGACACATAATAAAATTAATATAATTTACGAAAAAATATTTATTCCAATATCCTGTGACTGTTCGTATCGTAGCTTTATTCTCTTCAAGTCGGTGGAAATAAAAAGATATTTGGGAGAATTACACTCCAGTTCTACAGAAAAGAAATAGTTATTAAAAAATTTTAATAACAATCTAGGTAGCCTGTAATAATAAGTTCTATAATGGAAAATGACAACTTCTGAGATTTGTTTTATATATATATTTTTTCATCCGTGGGACTTGATTGAAATTCTCCTAAAATATTTTCTCTGGCAAAAAAAAAATCTTATTTTAGAAGAATTACAATGAGGTTTAAAAAAAAATTATAAAATAAATCACGTACTATCCTCAAATATGTCATTACATATTACTTACTTAGATTATTATTAAAACATTTTAATAACTTTTTTTTAAAATCCTATTGTAGTTCTCCCTTTTCTTTTTGGACTTGTGATTGTGATTATGACTCAGCTGTACATTGAGCAGATGCTCGTTGGAGTTAGGTAAAAGTTTTTAATTCTCGGTGGATCAATTAATGCGAGCCTCACAATTAATTAATTTTCCAAGTTCTCTCATTTTTCTACTGCTTTTGATTTGGATTGGTGTTGATCCCCTTTTCATCAACTTACGTGTGGTCTTCCTATAATTTTGATTCCTTATCCAAAAATTAAAATGTATTAATTACTTATAATACTAAAATAATTAGTAAAAATTCGTGAAAAAGTGTTTGCAAATTTTATCGATAAGACCTGAGTTTGAGTACATATACTTTTTCTTTTCTGACCAGAAAGTACATATACTTTTTTATATATGAAAACGTATTGGATTCTTCTAACAAAAAAAAAAAAACTTTGTTATAGGCCTTTTTTAAGGTTCTTAGTATCCTGTCTGTATTCAAAAAAAAAAAAACTTTCAAACTAAAATTTTTTACCAATTTTCTTAAATAACTATTACCTTATAGATTAGGTTTTTTGTTTACCATAATATTGTCAAATTTCGTTATAAGAAGGCATATTAATTATTTTTTTTAATAATTTTTCCTCCTAGTAAATCATAAGTACTGTATGCAAAACTTTATACTCCTTCTATTCCTTATTATAAGAGGCAAATAACTAAATTACGTTAATAAAAAAACAGTTAAAATTAGTTGAAGATAATTAATGTGTAAAAAGTATAATGTTTTTTCTAATAATGCCCCCATTAATAAGGAGAGAGAGTATGAGAGAGAACAATTAAATTATTAAAAGAAAGAGAAGTGGGAGGGAGAGAGAGTATGAGTTGGAGACAAAATAAATAGGGATAAAATAGGAAATCAATACAAAAAAATAGAGACAACTTTTAAGTGTCTCTTATATATGGGAACATGCCATAAGCATCAAATGTTTCTTATAATAAGAAACGGAGGGAGTAATAAATAAGGACATTTTATTAATATATTACTATCTCCTATCCTTAATAAAACAAATTAATTGGGAGGTTAAATTTAATATTAAATATAATATTTCAATTTATTTTGTCGTCCATATTTATCATTTTCTATATATCCCTATTGATTACACATGTTAATGAAGTTTGCTTCAACCTTTAATGAGTAATTTCAATGTAAAATATTTAAGATGGTATTTAAGGAAAACCAATGCATATTTTTGATAAATAATTAACTAATTAATTATTTTTTTTAATCTCGCCAAACTAGTTAAGTAGACTGGATGCAGTATTATATTTTGTCAAAATTAGGTTCTTTATTATCTTTTTTTTAATCGAATTATTTTTGCTTATTAAGTTTACTTGTGAGTGAAATATATGAAATTACTGTTTTAAAAAAAAAGAAATATATGAAATTACTTACAATAATAAATATTAATGTCAATTCAAGGGGGTTCCTAGATAGTTCTTCAAATTAATTAAATGAGTTGTTTGGATTAATGTTTGCAAAAAAAAAAACAAAAAAGAAAAATTATCCTAACTGACTTTTATAAATAAAAGCTAGAATCAAAATTAACTAATGATGTATAATTTCTATTTGAATTGGGTTTTATAAAAAATCAGTTTAAAATTTTTTTTAAATGATAAATTAAAAGGTTATTTAAAAGGTTTAGATATGAAAAAAAAAATCCAAAAATAAGAAAGAACTAAATTAAATTAATTTTTTTTGGGGGGAAATTCAGTTTTGATTTGACAAGCACAGCGTTACATGTGTAAATTGAACATGTAAAGCCAATTCCTTTACATGAAGGAAAACGAGACTCAGCGGCTCCCGTGCGCATGCCGTGATAAATTTGGTGTATATTTGTCGCCAATAGATAAATGTACGTAACAAAAACGCACTAATAAATTAATCCTCCCTCAAATTCTTATTAACTCCGTATTTATATTTGGTAGGAAGAGAGGGGAAGAAAGAAAAATTTTTAAATGAGCTCAATTTTTTTTTAAAAAAGTGAGGTTGTAAGATTTTGATAAAAAATATAAGATAAAAGAATAAAAAGAATTAGTTAGAAAGCTTGCTTCATCAATTTTTCAAATTAAGTTTATTAAAATTTTCTCTCCCCTCCTCTCCTTTCTATTTCCATCGTGCCCAACAAATCCTACAGTATTAAATATGTCCTAAATTAATAATTTTTTTTAAATTTATCCCAATTTAAATGATGTAGATAAAGAATCAGAGAATTTGAAAGAGCTTATTAACACTAAACATTAATTAATAACAAAGGTAATAATTTCTTCCAAAAGATACCCTGTAACAAGGACGACAAGGTTTTCATGAACTTTATTTCCCAAATTTATAATTTTTCTTAAAATATTCATGTTGATTGCACATAGTAAAGAAATTTTCATTAAGTATGAATTACAATACATCTGATTATTAAAAAAGATATTTTAGAAAAATCAACATATATATGTATTGCAAATAATTAATTTAACTAGTTTTTTAATATTGGTAAATTAAGTATCTAACTTTTATATTAAGGATTAGAGAGAGTATGTTTTCAGTCTTTTAACTTTAGCATAGTGAACTCTAATATTATTAGTTTCAAATAATGATTTCTGCGCCAATCATTATTACTTTTTAAAATTGAACATAAGATATCAGCATTTAAGAATGTTTTGTAAAAATTTAAATTTGTAATGTTAGTATATTTTGTTAACAATGTCAGGATAAAAAATATTTTATAAAATTAAGCACCAAATTAAAAATGAAAAATTGTAGTAAGTCATATGCCGCCATTACCCAAAAAAAAAAAAAAAAGAGCAAGCACACATATAACCACTAAACCGACTGTCAATGATTAATACTCTATTTGTTTCTAAATATTTGTCATTTTAAAATTTCAATGAGTGTTAATCATTTTTATGAGCACAAAATGGGCTCAAATACTCTATTTCTTTTTCATTATTTAAGGGGTTTTGGCTTAGGGTTAAGGTGCAAATATATCTATGGACTTATACCAAATGTGTACTTGACACCATAATAAATCTTGGGTGGAAAAATACATATGATGATTTCAAAACATTGCAAAAATGTCATGACTATTAATTATTGCAACGTTGACCATTTGTTTGATCGAAGATACTGATATGGATACTGATGTGGCTTAGAGAGTCTGATACAAAAGAGTAAAGGTGTAAAAATATCTATAATTTTTTTTTTCAAATATGCACTTGACATCATAAACAAACCTAGAATGCAAAAATACCTACAATCATTCTAAAGAACCTTAAAATGCTACAGTTGTTTAATTCACTAAAGAAAACTTATGGTGCAAGGTAGTGAACTTACCCTTTATGTGCTTGATGTGGTATGCTTATATGTTGGTTTGTGTATGTTGACTATATGATGTTGTGACATGATGATTATTGCGGGAAATGCTATTCTTAATATGTTTTCATGACCATGTATTTTTATACCAAGCATAAAGCATGATGGTATGTCACTAGTTAACCTAAGTTTATGAAAAATTACATATCATACATTAGCATCCATTTTGTACATGCATGGGGTAATGTTTGCTATTGAGATTCTCTCGAGTCTCGCTCTCCTTTAACCAACCATAATAAGTGATAATGATCAAGCAAAGGATGCATATGCGGAAGCAAGGAAAGAGGAAAAGAATT